ATGGAATAGGAAGGGACCTCAGCCTATCTAGTTCAACTGAAACTGAAAAAAAATCCCAGAAGACCCTGTGTTGCCTCTGCTGGAAGACCTCCAGTGGCGGGGGCACCCACCGCTTTTCCAAGCAGCCCATTCCCCTTTCGGACTGGTTATGGTCATGAAGATCTTCTGACATCAATCCTAGATTTGCCTAGTGGCAGGTTCTGGCTCTTGCCCCTAGTCCTGCCTTGGAGCTGAACAGATAGATACTTGAAGGTGGCTCTCCTGCCTCCCCTCCAAGCTCAATGTCCATGGCTCTTTCAGCTGAGCCTTGTGTGACACACACTCAAAGCCTTTCCTCACCATTCTGGTTGCCCTTTTCTGGGCAGTCTCTGTCTTTCCTAAAAAAAGACATCCATAATTGAGTGCAGTATCCCAGATTTAGTCTGACCAGGGCAGATTGCTCCCTTTTTATTCCTGGAACTGTTCCAGAGGCATAAGAAAAAAGAATTGGACCTGGAGTCAGGAAGACCTGAATTCAAATCCAGCCTCAGATACTAGCTTTGTAGGACTTTGGGCAAGTCACTTAACCTCTGACAGTCTCAGTTTCCTTAACTGTAAAAAGAGGATGATAATATCACAGGGTTGTTGTGAGGATCAAATGAGATAATATTTATTTGTCAAATGGCTGACACATAGTAGGTGCTTAATAAATGCTTGTTCTCTTCGCACCCCCCCCCCATTTAATGGAGCTAAAGATCACATCAGGTTTTGTTGTTGTTTGTGACCACATCACGTCAATTTGAGCTTAGAGCCCAGTAAAACCCTTAAATCTTTCTCAGAGAAAGTGCCATCTAGCCTTGCCTCAACATTTTGTTCTTGTGAAGTTGATTTTTTAAAATTCAGGTGTAAAACTTAACATTCGGCTTCAGTCCCATATCTTTTTTAGCTACACTTATGCCAACGTATTTATCCAGTGTGGTCTGTGCAGATGCCATCAGTGCCTCCTCCTTTGGTGTGTATATGCTACTTCCTATTTGATTCTATCAGACTTCCTCTTACCTTCAACTGACCATTTTTGCTTATTTGTCATTTTAAATTCAGTTGCTATCTTTTGAATCATTAATAAGAATTTGCTAAACAAATCATTAGTTTAAGAAATGACTATTTGTATTCCAGATCCCTCTGGGATGAGTTCAACGAGCTGTTAAGTGAACACTGTTTTTGAGTAGGATCCTCCTTTGTATGCAGGACGGAAGTATCCTCCAGACTTTATTGGCCTAATTTTGGAATGAGAATCAGGAGCTTTACTGAAATCTGGGTGTCTAGTATTAGATGTGTTATTTTCCCCTCATTTATAAAGTCTGTCATTTGGTTACAGTCATGTTGGTTTTACCCAGTAACTTGTGCTTGTTTAAGTATTTCCAAAGTGATTTTCTCTAGTATCTTTATAGGACTGGAACAGAACCATCTGCCTTCTAATTCCCCTTCACTCCCTTAAAAGTAGGTCATTGTGTCATTTTCTTTATTTAAGTATGCTCATCTATTTGCTAGTAATTTTCAAAATTCACAGCTAATGCTTTTACCAGCAATTGCTTCCAGTTCTTAAGTAGCTGTGGATGCATATCACTGGGGCCCAGGTTTTCAAAATAATGAAAAATGTTCCTTCCCCATTGATACATGACTTACTATCTACCTGTGTGGTGGCCGTGGGCCAATTATTCAGTCTTAGCATATAAGGCTGGAATGTATGTTAGAGATCATAAAGTCCAACCTCCTCATTTTACAGACAAGGAAACTGAGGTGCAGAAAGATGGAATGGTTTGCTTAAGGCCACACTGTGAATCAATGGTAGAGACAGAACTCAAAATCAAGTCTTCTGACTTGAGGGTCCTTTTTACCACCAGCCGCTTATCCTGAGTCTTAGTTTGCTCACTTATAGGTGAGGATTATAATATTTCTACTATATGACTCAGCAGGGTTGTTGGGAGGAAAAATATTGGTAAATCATAACAGCTTTATATGAATATGAGCTTATATTAACTTCCCATCACAGCTTAGCCATCTAAAGCCAAGGAACAAGTACAGAATGGGCCTCTGCTGCCCTCTAATGCCCAAGAATGGAGCAGCTTAGGGCAAAGAGGGAAATTAGATTTGATGTAAGATGAATAATGTGGAAATATGTTTTACATCATTGCACATGTATAACCTGTGTCAAATTGCTCACTGTCTCAAGGAAGGGGTAAGAAAGAGAGAGAGGGAGAAAACCTGAAACTCAAAAGTTTTAAAAATGAATGTTAAAAATTTTTTACATGTAATTGGGAAAACAATAAAATACTATTTAAAAAAAAGATTTGATGTAAGGAAAAATTTGCTAACAGAGCTGTCTACAAGAGGATTGAGTTTCCTTAGAAGACAATGGATTACCCCCTCATTGGAAGTTTTTGGGAAAAGGCTGAGTGACCAATTATTAGGTGTATGGTGTTAGGGATTCCTTTTCCAGAGTCAGTTAGACCAGATGACCACTGAAGATTCCATTTCTGAAATTCTTTACCTTCCTACCTTTCTGTCTCATTGTTCAATCCATGGAATCACAGAGTCTTAGAACTGGACCTTAGAAATTACTTAGTCCAGTATCCCTTTTTTTTTTTTTTTTTTTTTTTTTAAGAATGGTGAAATAACTCCTAGATCACATAGCTGACTAGTGGAAGAGCTAGTACAAATAAGAATTTAGTTTTCTTATCTCAAGCCAGTGCTCTTTCCGTTACACCATTTTGTCTAATTTTTAGATAGGAAAATTGGACAAGGAGAAGATGAACTGTTTGTCATATTGTGATCCAGGAACAGAGCCTGGAACATCATATCCTGACCTAGCAGTAATGACTAAGGACTAAGGATCTTACTTCCTAGCAAGTATGGAGAGCAGCGACAGTCTTGCAGTGAATTATATATGTTAGTCTTTTTCAAATGGCTAAGTGATTGCTATCTGTGTCCAAAGTGCAGGTTTGTCTTCCTCCTACAAAAGAGGGCCAAGGGCTCAAAGAATGGCTGTCCGTTCTCTAAGTTATCAAGAAGAATGGAATGTTCCTTTAAAAAATGGAAGAAGAGTTTGACTTTGAAAACCAGGAAGAAAAAGTATCTGAAGGGGCAGAGAGGGAATCCCAGCTTATGCCAGGACACTGGGAGATGTGAGACGGTGACACGAAGCATCCTAAGATCATAGGTTTTGAACTGCAAAGGGCCTTAGAGGGCGCACTTATAGCTAAGAAACAGATATGTGAGGCTCTTCCCGAAAACGAGTAAGCTCAGTCCTTTACAGAAGAAGCAGCTCCTTCCTTGTCCTCCAGTAAATGATACTGCGAATCCAGTTTTGTCAATTAAGAGATTATCCAGAAAAGTACACAGAGATGAGATGAGCAGTGCTAATTGATGACTCCTCGCCCTGCTGGGGCAGTCATCTGTTGAACTATTAATAACAAAAGAGAGGTCCACTGGCATTTTTCCAGGCCTTGATGGAGAACCTACCCAAGACTCTTCAGACCTGGTGACAGCTACTTCTAGTGTTTCCTAGGGGCACAAACAAGACTACCAGAAAGACTCTAATAAACATTGCTAAGGAATATAAAACATCAGGCAAAGAATTGAAGACCTTAAGAGTATTGATAAGGGGCAGCTAGGTGGCACAGAGGACCTGAGTTCAAATCCAACCTCTGACCAAACGCTTGACACTTATTAGCTGTGTGACCCTAGGCAAGTCACTTAACCCCAATTGCCTTTTAAAAAAAAAAAAGAGTATTGATGGTGTTTTCATCATATGTGGAGTTGAAGGCTAGGACTTCAGAAGATAAAGGCAGATTTGAGAAGTGAGCAGCTGTTTAAGAAGGTGGTATCTGAGAATGAGATATGAATTTCTGGACTGCAGTTTAAAATATAGAGATGATGGGTTCTTGGATAGAGATGGAATGTACTTAGCAAGGACTAGTAAAGATATGTTTGCCTGGATTCTTAAAAATCTAATCAAAAAAGTTTGTAAACCAAAAAGGAAAAGGAGGAGAAAATTGTGTATGTGTAATTACCGAGCTAGATAGTAGGGCCACACCACTGCCCTCTAATGCCTAGGAGTGGGGCAGCTTAGGGCAAAGGGGGAAATTGACTTCGATTTGATGTAAGAAAACGCTTGCTAACAATTAGAGCTATCTAAAAGGGGAATAAGTTGCCTTAGAAGATAGTGGATCATCCTCTCATTGGAGGTTTGATAAGTGTTGGAAAGTTCAGAGTCCTGGTCTGTTTCCATTAGGGTCTCACTAGACATGGTGGTCCAAGTGATAACCTGCCTGATACATGTTGCCTTCTGTCCATTAGGATGACTTACTGCTTCAACTAGGCTGGCTTGCCTGACATGTGAGTGTCAGAAGAGCCACTTTCCCAGATGATGACTATGGGGGCAGTCTGAGGTGCTGCCACTCCCAGGGCTTTTGTGCTTATTTGTCTATTAGTGGCAGTTGATCAGAAGTTGTTGCTGGTGGTAATGAGGAAAATGGGCCCTCTCTTCCCTCAATGATGTCTTCAGGGTCTGGAAGAGAAGCGGGTCTGGTGGTTTGGGGAACACCAGTATTCCCAACTCTCCTGGTGTCAGGATCCTGGGCTGTCATCATCAGGATCTGAAGGGTTCTGATAATCAAGGTGATACTAGTACAGAGTAGGATTCTATATTAAGAAGATATACTTACATGAGGAAATCTGGGAATCAAAGAGGGAAAGTATGGTAGAGAGCATTTGGATGAAGATCAGGGAAAGCAGAGCAGAAGTGATATCACTAAAGCATTTATCCTACAGTCTACTTAGACAGCAGAAGGAAAACTAATGAAGAATCAATGATACAGATCATTGGCATGGTGGCATGATATAGTAGTGATAGGGGACTTCAGTTATCCAGACATCTGTTGGAACTCTCTTCTTCAGGCAAAAGCTGAGCCACTAAAATTTTTTTGACTTGCCTTAATGATACTTTCATCCTTCAAAAGGTGGAGATACCAACAAGGGAAGCTTCTGTTCTGGACCTGATTCAGACCAACAAGAAAGAACTGGTTTCTTGAGTGGAAATGATGGGAACCTTGGGGGTAAGTGACTACTCTGTCTTAAGAGTCTGTGATACAGAGGAAGAGGAAAGTTGGGCAGTCTGGTGCCCATGAACTCTAGATTTTGGAAGAGTGGATTACAAAGCACCCAGAGATAGCTTAATTCTCTCAACTTAAAATTCTATAGGGAAAGTCAGCTCAGGAAGGATGGAAAATTCTCAAGAATGAAATTCTGAAGACACAGAAAGAAACAATTCTAATATGGAAGAGAAGGAAATGTCAATCTAAAAGAGACTGATATATAAATAAATTAATTAAAATAAAAAAAGAAAAAGAGACTGATATAAATGCAGAGGAACTCATCAACCAGCTTAATTGTTGTAAAAGACTTGCACAAAAGATGAAAACAAGGACAGGTGATTGAAGATGAATACAAAAGCCTACCATGATCCTATTAAGATTTCAGGAGTGCTAAAATAGAAAATGAGCTGAGATTGGTAAAGAAATCTGAGACTAACAGAATTTTTTTTTTAAGTTACAGAGTATTGGAGAAAAGTGGTGGATCAACGAAGGGATAGGACAGCTTTTTAGAGTAGATGGTGATTGCAAGCAGAGCTACTCAGATGTGATTTTGTTTTATATATGTTATATATTTTATATATATAACATATATATATATATTTTTTCCCGGCAAGGCAATTGGGGTTAAGTGACTTGCCCAGGGTCAAACAGCTAGTAAGTGTCAAGTCTCTGGTCTGAGACTGGATTTGAGCTCAGGTCCTCCTGACTCCAGGACCAGTACTAGGTGCCACTGCGCCACCTAGCTGCCCCTATATATTTTCCAACAAGGAGAAAGATCTTAAGGCAGGAGAGGACAGAAGTAAAATGGCTCATGGGGAATTGATAGCCATGATAACGAAGAAAATAGTCGGAGAGGACACAGCTGTTCTTAGTGAGTTCCAGTTATCTAGTCCATATCTGGAAGTATGTCCATGAAAGAACTAATGTATGTGCTCATTGAGCCATTGCCTATGATATTTTCAGAAATCACCAAGGGCAGTGATCTTTGAAAATTAAAAACTGATCATGACAGACTAACCTCATTTTCTTTCTTTCTTTTTTTTTTTTGACAGGTTTATTATATTGCTATAGATGTAGCTTATCTAGATTTCAGAAAAACATTTGACATAGTCATTCATGGAATTATGTGGACAAAAAAAGTAATGTGGTCTAGGAAATTGTATAATTTGGTGGATTCAGGACAGGCTGAATGGCCATATCCAAAAAGTAGTCATTAATGCTTGGATGTCAACTTGGAGAGGGATACATATATAGTGATGGTACCACAGGGATCTGTGCTGTTTAACTTTTTTTTTTAGTGACTGGATGAAAACATGTATAAATGATATGCTTATCAAATTTGCAGGTCACTCAGTTGTAAATTTTCCCTTCTTCCCCAGCATGGCATACAATCTGATATAGGCTATATATGTATGATCATATTAAACATATTTCCACATTAGTCATGTTGTGAAAGAAGAATTAGAACAAAAGGGAAAAACCGTGAGGAAGAATACACACACACACACACACACACACACACACACACACACACACACACACA